GGCATGGAAAGAAGCACTACTTATCCCACTACCTAAAAAGAAGAATCCCGCATCCTTCTCCGAGTATCGCCCCATTTCCATATTGCCCTTCCTTTCAAAAGTCCTTGAACGTCTTGTTCACATCCAGTTAAATTCATTCCTTAATAAAAACCAACTCCTAAGTCCTCTCCAGTCAGGTTTTCGTGCGGGTCATAGTACGGCAAGTGCGTTGATCAATGTTACTGACGACATCAGGCTTGGAATGGAAAATAAAAAACTCACAGTTCTTTCCTTACTGGACTTTAGCAATGCTTTTAATAGTGTAGATTTCCACATCTTGCTGGCCATATTGCGCTCTATTAACATATCTCCAACAGTAACTGATTGGTTTCAAAGTTACCTGTTTGGTCGAAGGCAGCGTGTGCGCCTTGAAGAATCTTTTTCATCTTGGTGTAAAACGTCTGCTGGCGTCCCACAGGGTGGCGTTTTATCTCCTCTACTTTTCACTATATTTATAAACTCTATCACTAAGTCATTAGCCTCATCCTACCACCTTTATGCAGATGATTTTCAAATATATACACAAGCACCGTTACATCAATTATCTGAAGCCTTTTCAACTATTAGTCTAGACCTGGCGCGCGTGTGTGACTGGAGCAATGAGTATGGAGTTGTAGTGAATCCGTCTAAGACCCAACTTATTGTTGTGGGCAGTCCCGGGATGGTATCAAGAATAGACTGGTCACAATTACCGAATATAATGTTCAACGGTACTGCACTACCAATGAGTACTTGTGTTAAAAATCTAGGGATTTACATTGATAATACCTTATCCTGGGGCCCCCAATTGCGAGAGGTCAGTCGAAAACTGTTTGCATCGGCGGGATCCTTGCGAAGACTACGCAATTTTCTCCCAACGGCAACTAAAATTGCGCTTGCACAATCCCTCCTCCTTCCTATACTCGACTATGCTGATGTCAGTTATCTCGATATCACGGAGGAGCAACTAGATAAACTTGAGCGCCTTCAAAACTTTTGTATAAGATTTATATTTGGATTGCGCAAATATGATCATGTATCTGAATATCGCAATCAGCTTAAGTGGCTCCCAATTCGCCTTCGACGGAATGCTCATATTCTTTCCTTTCTTTATAGTATTATATTTCATCCGTTTACTCCAACTTATTTAAAGGAACGATTTGTTTTCCTTGGTGACACACATTCGAGGACCCTGAGGTCATCTGAATCTCTGGAACTGGCAGTACCATCTCACTGTACCACGTTTTACGATAAGTCGTTTACTGTACAGGCTGTCCGACTATGGAATGCTTTGCCAATGCCTATAAAACGTGCAAAAACTTTACCTACCTTTAAAAAAATGGTCAAAGAACACTACCTGTCATTTTAATTTATTATTTACATAACATATCCTATCTGCTGTATTCCTCTGCAAATGAATGGTAGAGTTTATGTATTTGTTTATGTATTATATAATCCTTATAGTTAGTATTTACTTGTATTTATATAAGTAGGTATTGCTGGGACTGACTGCTGTATACAATTGACACTACTTTGTTTTGTAATTGTCAAAGGAATGCTGTTGTGCTGTATAAATATTATTCTTTTTAGTTTCCTTTACACTTTTTCTCACCAAATCTGCCCATGAAATTACCTATTTACAGTCTATTTGTCCATCCAAAGGTTGCCTGTAAGATATTGCTTTTTAGCGATAAGGCCGCCATTTGTACATGGTCATTAACCTTGAATACTATTGTATGTATAATATCCTGAATTGGTGTACAATAAAGATTATTCTATTCTATTCTATTCTATTCTACAAATAACCTAAGCATAACAAATTCACCAAAATGTATAAAAAGTTAACTACCTACTTCTATATTATAAATCCAATCTGTTTTTATTTAAACTACGTACAAAATACAGATTTCCTATAATTGATAGCAGATGGATGTCAAGTGAAGTCAATTCATAATAAAAAGAGCAGCATTATTTGATTACATACATATGTACTCGAGTCGAGCACTATATGTATGACATATACCATTCCCACCTACGAATTCTTTAATTTGTTGACTCACGAATTCAATTATAATTGTTGTTATAAATTCAATGTACTTTCTTTTAATTCAATTTCAATAGCTATACATTTTAAGCTCTGTCAATGTACATAAAAATAAATTGACATGAAGTAGGTAATTTCTAAGAGCATATTTAGCCCGAGGATGACGCAAACTAAACTGTGCTTTAATAAGTCAATTTACATGATAATATGACAAAGCAGTTTTTCAAGATGTGAATTCTATTATAGTTGGTGTACCTCCGGAACTGAACACGCGTCCTAACCGGACGTAGCGTGCACGCACCTCTCAGCATGCACACCCAAGGGCAGTGGCGTAGCGTGGATATCAGCCGCCCGGGCCGGAAGAAAAATTTATTAGTTTAATTTAAAAGACTAAAATATACAGTAGGTAATTGTAAAGAACTTTTCGGCAAGAACAGTCTTCTTATTGAGTATTTTTCATACGATACGATTAAGTAATTTGAATTGGAGAACTGACGATTGACGATCCGATCCAACTTTCTTTGAATATTATCAAAAAAATATTTACGGACTTCCGTAAATGGACTTACCCGTACTGTAACCTAATTTACTGGTGCTATTATACAATACTATCTTGAAAGCATACAAAGTTTTACAAACAACTTAACATTCTGCTTTTTAAAGGGTTTTTAGGAAAATTAGTAACTATGTTTTTTATTAGTTTTAATAAAGAATATTTACTGTGAGTTTGATAAAGCTACTACCGAAAATTAAGAATTTTCATATAAATTTCCAAACCCCCATTTTACACTCTAAGGGGGTAATTTTAAAAATCCTTTCTTAGTGCATACCTACGTCACCTAAGGAACATTTGTGCAAAAATTCATGCTTCTATACCCAGCAGCGGTTCAAGTTGTGCGTTGATCGATCAGTCAGTGAATCAGTCAGTCAGTTTCATCATTTAACTTTTTACTCATAAACAAGCCAAGCATAAAATAAAACACTTAAAAATACGAGGAATCCCTGCAAGTCAGTACAGACGGTGTTGCCAGTCGCAACAATGAGCAAGATTTCATTATTATACATTCATTTAAAGACATATACATATATTTATTGCATAACAACTGTGTACAAATATGGGTGTTTTTACGTATTGGTATCAGGCTCAACAGTTACCCAGTTTAGGTGTTGCATTTTATGTGAAATCAAATTGAATACATAATTAGATGATACGGCTACACTATTTTAGCATCAAATAATTCTCTCAGACTATAGAACACATTGTTTGTTAACCACTTTTTTAAACTATTTCTGAATATATTTCCGTTTATTTTTTTTATATGTCCACTAAAAGCAAAATTTCGCCACTGAAAGGGGGTCAAAACCACCAGTTACCACCACCTAGCGGAAAAGCCACTGGGTTGGCAGCACTGCATTTACTCCCATCCCAGCGAAGATCCTCACTCTCAATCCAATAAAAAAATACTAGGGATGGCCATCCGAGATCGATTAATGGAAGTAAATTAATTTGTAGCACAAACTCGTTTCTGTGAATCACTTTTTCATCATAGAATTATCGATCTTCGATGTTGCTGCTTATATCGCAGCTGCACCTACCGACTATTACTTTTTCCAAAATTTAGACAACTTTTTAGTGGGTAAAAAATTCAATTTCCGAGAGGCAGTTCAAAACGCCTTTGAAGAGTTTGTTGCCTCCAGCTGATTTTTACAAGAAGGGCATCAATAAACTGCCAATGCGTTGGCAAAGATGCGTCGATTGCATAGATTGCAGAAATAAAAAAGTTTGAAAAAATAAGTACTTTCACTTATTGCATACAAAACGGCAATTTCATAGGGAAATACCTATTATATATATCTTCTTACACACACCCATACACCGATATCTTTAGTCATATTACAGGTTAGAGAATATACATTCATTCATTCATTCATTTATTTCATCTCACATGTATAATCACTTTACAAAATATCTCATTTGCTGCATCTACTTGTCTAGAGCCAGGAGAGGCTGGTCATCTGTAATACAGGTTTTACCTAGTACGGATACCAGTCTCTCACACAGATTAGCATTTTTCTTGTAATGTAAATTAATCTATAACTTTGTTACTAGTTTATTGATATAATTTTTGTGTGAGAGAAAAAATAAATAAATATTATTATTATTATTATTATTATCCTTCACCTTGCAAACCATTTGCGTTACAACAGACGGACAGGATAATCTTTTGACATTTCCGATCATGGCAGACTAGGGATATAATCCGACTCCATATTTAATGAACCGGTTGAGTAGCAGAAGAGAACTAAAGATCGATATCATTCAAACCTAAACTAGAGGTATTGCTCTTAAAAGATGCTCAAGGAGCCAAGATACTTCTATATTTAAAGGGGATTAGTGACTTTTGGTATTACTTTCTTAATACTACCTATGCCTGCCTATTTCAATGCCGATGTTGAGTTGAGAGACTATATGAATAAATAGAGGAATAGAATGAACATAAATCTTTTGTGATTGAGAATCTTAATGAGCTGTGATTTGAGGTTAAACAAATCGTAATAAACGTGGTAAAACAAATCATTAGGTCCCAAAAATTCGCATTAATCTGGAAGCGACGACGATAGTGCTGGGAAAAACGATTAGAGTCAGTATTAATTTTAATAAATGAAACTAGTTATTATTATATTTATGGTTTTCTTTCGTAATTACTTATAAACATATTTAGTGGCAAATTTGGTGCCTATTAGAGTACAGTACAGTTTCTGGTGGTTTTAGATGTTAAATCTAGTGGCAGTCTGTTGGCAACACTGAGTATATGTGTTCTGTGGTGAGGATTGTATTATTGTATGATACATTGAAAGGTATTACATTTTGTTTGTGATAAGTGCCGGATTGTATTTTTACGTTATTTGGTTGTAATGAAAATATAAATTAGTTAAAATGAAAGTAGACACAGCTTCATCGTCAGATAAACCTAAAATACCATTACCTACGCTTTCTCAAATAAATGCCGATAGAATTACACAAGTAAGTGAGGTTATCCATTTCATAACATTGGTTAATTTTTGTAAGGGAATAAAATTGTTTGTTCATGCTTTTAGTTCCCATCTAAAGGTTTTTTATACGAAGTCTCTTAGATTTATTTTTATAAACCAATCTTCATTTAATGAAATATTAATTAATACCACTTATCAATCATAGAACATGGCCTTATTTGTTCAATATTATTTTCTCGCACATATAAATTCCCGAAAGGAAATAATGCGATATATTTTATGGAAAGATTCATTATAGATATCGTGACATGTTATTAAAATAACTTGCATATTGTTATATACATCATACTGATTGCATTTAGTTGTCACCAACATTTGTTATTTATTTATTATTGTTCTTGGTTTCATTTTAGTTTTATATTGAGAAGTTAGCTAAAAAATCTTACACACATGTTGATTTAGGAGCTCTAAGCTTTTATAAGTTTTCCAAAATTAAATTGTAAGTACCTGATGAAGATGTTTAATATAAAATTTGGGTGAGGTTAAACAGGTATAAATAATTTGTGTGTAGTGTGTAAGTTCACAAGTGTAGTTAAAAATATACCACATGCTTAACATGTAGTTTAGACATTCAACTTTACCACGACCTGATAAAGCTCAAAATGGACATACTTAAATTGATATGAATTTTGTTACAATATTTAGAGACTTCTGTATCAGTATATATAAGTATAGTTTATAAGGAGCCTACCTCACATGGTTGCAACATTCACAGCTTGCGAATCAGTACTGGTCACCACAAACCAAAGAGAGTCACCTACCCTATGATGCTTCTATTGTGGAATCAATCTACCAGGCTGAAATACTTGGATCCAAGTGAGTACCTCAATTTATTTCTACTTCTTAACAGAACTCTTAATTTATTCTCAAAGTGGGCCTGAGCCCTACTAATTCGTTCAAATTGTTTCAATCTCAGTAGCGAACATCTGATTATTGTTTAAGAGTCATAATTCGGAGTCTGATGAAGAGTATGAGGTGTGCCTTCTGCTTTCCAATGATTATGCTTTGCCCTTCAATCCATCATGTATTGACAATATAATTTTAACAATAAGCAATCATTTTAATTTTTGCGTGGTAATGAACGACAGCAGAACGAAAGGAGCTTTGTCGGTTACTGCAAGGTTGACCATTGCAGGCGAACGGATAGGACGTCACATGGAGGGCAAGTTGGTGCTGCGGTTGGTGGTACTGTTGGATAATGAGAAGCATATGGAACAACATCAAGGAGAAATTGTCGGAATTGTTAGAAATTTTATTCCTGGCTTGGGGATAGAAGATTACAGGAATGCCGCCACCATAGAAATCGTAATAATAAGACACTAGAAATGAAATAGCGCCCGATTACTTCCAGAACCGATGTCGCCACATTTTAACACATACACAAAATACAAACAAATAGATATAAGCTCGCACACACTTGCAAAACAACGGTGAAATGTCTAAGGCACAAACTATTATGAACCTTAATTATTCAGAATTACATTGCGCTTTACTCCAATATATTGTGGCACCTCTTTCAATGTTTGAGAATCCCTGTAAACAATACTAGGGATTGACTAAATTTTTCGAAGGTGTCAATATTTTATTTTTATATTAAAATGGATTACAAGTAGTAATGAAAACCATAGATATATATATATATATATATTAAATATTTTAGGAGGAATAATACTTATAAATGAATGGTATCCATTATTTAAAATCAAGGAATCTATTTCACTCAAAATACTTTATTAATTCAGGTTACAGCATACACTTATGAAACATTAAAAAAAATTAAAAATCTTATGAATAAAAGATTATTTGAAAAAACAAAAAGTAAATATTGATAGATAAAAAAAATTAAAAGAAAGTATCTATAAATAATAAAAACATAAATAAAAAGTACCCGTATTTACGTCGATCCATAACAAACCATAGCAATAACACTTGAGAGAGCCTGGCGATCCTTGACACGGAAACTCACTGAAACGAAAAAGTTTACAATTATATTTATATCATTGTAGAAATAGGTTATTAAAGAAGTAAGTAATAAACAGAGTAGTTTCCTATTTTTTAAAGATATTTACATAGTCATCAACTGTATTATTCTTGACACTATATTTGAAAATATAGTCAAATATATAATTAACTTTATACCCTGATAAATGTGGATATGCTTGACTGCCTTAAATTGCGTCTTTTAGCAGTGACAATCATCTTCCTTAAATTCAACTGAACATATTCGACTATTTTCTGTAGACAATCAGTCCTGTCTACCTGTAATATTCATCCATTTTTCTTTAACGTCGGTCTTTCGGGAATCTAGAAATTAATTATAATTAAATAATAATAAATAGTAATATACCTAATTATTTATGCTTTGTAAAAAGATAACATTTTATTTACATTTATAAGCATGCCAAACATTTATTTATTTATATAACTTAATGCACAAGTTGTTCACAGGCGGAATTAATGCCCAGGGCATTCTCCTCCAGTCGACCTTCCGGTCATGTAGAAAAGTGATGCGGTAGGTGCAAGAGAAACCAGAGAATTTGACTATTTATATCAAATTTATTAATTTAACACATATATACTATAAATAAAATACTATATTCATTACTACATATGTATTTACTACATATGTATATACATAGAGGTCCCAAGTAAACACATACAATACATAAACATACACATTTATAAATACATAAATATCAAAATACATAGTCGGGTACTAGCGTTTATAGATTTATAGCATTAATAGACTTTAATATGCTAACTTATGTTTTAATTTAATATACAATAATAAAACATCACTAACTGGCGACCGATACCAGCGGCCGTATTATAAATATACGCAATGAACAACGATATCTAATATTTCACATTACATTGTTTGGCAAGTTTGTCAACATCGCGTGCAATAATAACAAAAGCAGCAATGGTGATTATATAAAGTGGAAATTAATAATGAAAGTTTTCAATGTAAAGTATTCTTCGAGATGTAAATTATTAAAAACAATGATTTATTAGTAAAAAATCAAATTACCAATGAAATTTTATGGCTTTATTAGTTGAATTACACATCCCTGATGTGTTTATACAACCCAGTATGCTGCAGTTCACCATTTTAAAAATTTAGATTCACTTACGACTCCGAACTAAATTACGAATGGTGTGAATTTCTGTAAGTGGTGTTCGTCTACACATCATTGCGGCGACAATGTCAAGCGTCTATATGCGACTTCTAGTGTCTGATTATATTATTACGATTTCTATGGCTGCCAGGTTTTTGATACAAAACGGTTATAATGCACAACTCGCTATGGGCATCTTAGAGACTGCATCCACCATTCTCGGCAAGCAGATACTATCTAGTCTAACTGCTGCATGTTTTTTTTTATTTGCCGGATAATCGAGTTGTTAATTTATCAATGACACTTATAACAGTTCTCTTTCTGAAATGTAATTGAAATCAGTTTGTGGGGCAAATACTTAAAACAGATAAACTGATCACATCCTATTGGCATCATATTTGAAATAAAATATCAAATTAGACTGTTTTTAGGAATTATTGACAGTAAAAAGAGTGAATAGATGTATGATGTGATGTGATACATATTGTTAGTGATATTTCTAACATTATTGTAAAATAAAGACTGAGTATTTATATTATTATGACTTAGAATTATTGACATTAATAAAATTTTATTAAAACATGTTGATCTTGATTTAGTCTAACCAATATAAAATTATATTATTTTTCAATAAATGCACATGTACTTAAAACAATTATTTTTAATGTAATAAAGGAATTAGAAAATAAGACATGATTAAAACAAATATTCCATATTTTATTCTACAATTTAGAAAACTTACACTTAGTGGAATTAGTGTTAAGCAAAAAAAGAAAAACTATATGAATAAAAACCTTTAATTGACGGTCATATAGAATATTTTTTATATAGACAACTGGACTATAGATTTCTTTAGTACATAAGTACTAAAGAAATCTATAGTCCATTCGCTTTTAGAAAATGTGTATCCAGGGTAGAGTAAAAATTTAAACAAAATGTGAACTTAACTTTATAATTTTATGGTCAATCAGGTTACAAAAAATTAATAGGGGCACGGCTTAATCAGTGGACAACGATACGTCACTATTTTCGTAACGCGAATTAACTATTGTGCCCTTATTTACTACAGATCGCCTTGTGGTCGGATATCGACCAATTTTCTATCAGTTTCAGTTACTAGAGTACTCATTGCCTTGTTCTTCTATTTCCAGTTTCTCAGTGCGCCGGATTATGATGTTAGAGTTCTCTCAGTACTTAGAGAACTTCTTGTGGCCGCACTACGAGACGGACGAGGCGACGCATGCTCATATGATGTCTATCATTGTCATGATCAACGAGAAGTTCCGGGAACGAGTGCCGGCTTGGCAGGTAATATTAGTCACTTTTCTGGGCCATATTTGTTAAGCAAAATCGATCTAAGTAGCGTGTAATGGGAGAGACCTGTGTCCAGCAGTTGACTGCGATAAGCTGATGATGATGAAGTGGACAAATGTAAATTATCACTAAATGTGGGGCTAAAATTATGGTTATCAAAATGTAGGCACACTTATACGCCTCTTACCTATTATAGAGAGAGAGATAAAAGACGTGAGAGTACGTATGTACGGAATTAATCTGAAACTGCGACTAGATCCTAGATGTCGGCTTAAATTAGGTGCAATGCAAGTTAATATTTGAATTGTCGTTCTCTTTGCTATTTAACTGCTCCTTAGTTTAACCTGACCGAAAACTTTTTTCAACATTACGTTGGAGCCAAACAAGCATATGAAGCGCCGGATAATAAGCAGTCGCCATAGCCAATGAACGCTTGCAACTCCAGGGGACACGTCAACCCTTTAAAAGCCTCACTAGTATGGCTGTTCACTGTGTCTACTTATAAATTGCCTGTTTTAAGATATCGGGCATAGTCTAGTTAAAAATGCAGTTCCTATTTTAAAATATTTAATACTAGAAACCAATGTAATCTTACTTTATTACAGGCATTCTTGAAAAAACCAGACCAATTTCCAGGATTTTTCGAGCAAGTACTGCGCGCTAGTGTAGCTGAAGACAATAAAAGCAACAATATGCGGGAACAGACGGCTCTGCTATTGTTTTTGAATCATTGCTTCGGAAGCATGGAGGTGCAGTTGTGTCGCGACCAGGTCAAGCGACTCGTCTCGCTCAGTATGTGGATTAGCTTACAAGAAGGTAAATAGCGGCATTTTATTTATTGTCATGAACCTAACTTGTAGATACCTGATCTGTTCAGGTGTTAAGTATGATTTCTAATACTGAATATGGATTGAATAAATAAAAAAATCGTTGAAGATAAGACACTAGATTTTTAGATTTAAAACTTTCACGACTCCTTTTCCTTACAAAATTCCTTTATTTTTTATTTATTTATTCGCTTTACGATACACACATATTTGAGGAGGACTTACTTAGGTGGAACTAATTTCTCCAAATTTATGTAAAATCTGCCACATTTCCATTTCTGCATTGAGTCCAGCAGCAGCCAGTTCCAGCTGGATATGTCCACAAATCTCACTCTATTGAGTTGCTTCGCTGTGTTGGCTTTGTAGGTTTACTAATGCAGTATTCGTTTTAATAATTAATGCAAAACTTTTGGTTAGTTATCTCTATCCTGAACTTTCGAAATGAAAGAACACGCGTGATCTTTTTTTCTCTTGATGGTATCAAACTGTAAATATTAATATGAAAGAGTTTCGCACCGTTCGAACTTTACTGCAGATGTTTTTTTTTTTACAATCGCATAGCAACTTATTGTTCTCATAATTAATGATCATTTTATCGCATAGGCCGAAGAAATCAAGAGTTCAAAGCAGTTCCGAAGTGGAGGAAGTATTGGCGGGCAATCCAAAAGAAAGACAAACCAGAGCTGTTGGAGAAATTGAGCTGGGAGCGGCGGTACTTGCAACGGCTTATGATTAAGTTCATGCGTATATTAGAAAGCATACCGGAGACGGGGGAACTGGATTCACATTCAGTAAGGTAAGAGCAATCTAGAATATCTTAAAACCTTTGAACTGTGTCTGAGGTAAGTATGATGGATCCAGTGGTAGATATACTACAACAGTCAAATACAGAAAAAAGGTCTTAAAGTGGAGTTATGCTGTATATGAGGCAACACTGAATATCTGTAATACAATATTTTATTTGGATGTTTATTAGACTAGATTTCGCACTACTTTTTTACATTTTAAAAGCTTAGAATTCTTTCAAACAGCTTACTAACCGACCGCTATACACCATCAAGGTCGGTATACAGGGTTACAATACTATTCTCTCTTTAACTCAATATTTTTTGTTATTAGTTATTACACAGAACTGTGAAAAACGTATTATTATGCAATATAATTACTATTAAAAAGTCAAATCAATAGGAATTTATTACTAGGAAAGCTTTATTTCTCCTTTATAATTATTTAGATCAGGTTTATTAAAATAAAAACATAAAAATAAATATATTACTAATAACAGTACAATTATTACGCAATATCTGATTTGTAACTGATGTTTCTACTGTTCATCTTAATTTTCTTTGACCTCAGTTTCCGACTATGTAACCGTATCAACAAAATTATATAGGTTTTATCCATTGACTACAATAAAATGCAAATGTATCGTACAAAGTTGGTTGCTAACTTTAGATTATCATGTGACAGAAAACCTTCTATGGCTAAGTTAGATAGATGAATAGATAGATAGATGACAACGTAAAACACTCATATGCATACACAAAACTTAATTAAAAACCGAGTTTATAGATGACAACTTAAAAACACTCATATGCATACACAAAACTTAATTAAAAGCCATGTTTATAGATGACAACGTAAAAACACTCATATTAATAATCATCATCATAATCATATTAATAATTAATAACGCAAAACCTAATTAAAATGTAATCTATACTAATATTATAAAGCTGAAGAGTTTGTTTGTTTGTTTTTTTGAACGCGCTAATCTCAGGAACTACTGGTCCGATTTGAAAAATTCTTTCAGTGTTAGATAGCCCATTTATCGAGGAAGGCTATAGGCTATATATCATCACGCTAAGACCAATAGGAGCGGAGCAACAATGAAGAATGTTTCAAAAACGGAGAAAATTTATTACTATTGAGAGACGCAGACGAAGTTGCGCGGGTCAGCTAGTAATTTATAAAAATTATTATATTATTAATTCATAAATATTAAACTCGGTTTGTAAATTAGGTTTAAATTTTAATTGTTAGGTAAAGATTATCATTTTAATGAATTTAAAATCATGATATCAAATCCATGGAATTTGTTTTTCCACTGTCGAGACTTGACATCTTCATAAATTTAAACTTTTCACAGATATTGCGAGCGGTTTCTAGAGCTGATGATCGATCTGGAGGCGTTGCTGCCGACAAGGCGTTTCTTCAACACAGTCATGGACGACTGTCACCTCGTAGTGCGCTGTCAAATGGCGCCACTTACCAGGAGATCCGAAGGACAATTATTTGATCAAGTAAGTGGATTATTATTAAAAGGCAACTGTTGTTTGTTTGTGTTCAATAAAGAGGACAATATAATATTAAATTGCACGCCACAAAGTTAACAAAAAAAGCAAACGGTGCTTTGTTATTGCTAGTTGCGAACTTAATATTTGTGGTGGGTATGATATGAAACCTTTTTAGTTGATATTACTGCCAAATTGGACCGATTGTGGACACAAATTCATTGCGTATGTTTATCTAACGATTACGAATAACTTTTGGACTCCTGTTATACAGTTAAAATGTATTTATATTCAGTTTAACTGCACTTACTGCTTAATTTGACCTTAAATTAACCGCTTAAACATATCCGTGTGGTGACGGATTAAGAATTCGGAATAAGAATGTCACCACCCCTATTCATCCCTAAGGTGTCGTAAGAGCCGACTAAGGGAGCAAACTACGCATGACATCACTGCAAAGCGAGAACAACTTGAACAAACCTTGTACTTACCAACCCGTCTGGCCAGCGTGGTATGGTAAGCCAAAACCACCTTTCTAAGGAGAGGTCAATGTCCAGCAGTTAACAATTATAGGCTGATGATGACCTGAGTCAGTTGTCCGTGTGGTGACGGATTAAGAATACGGATTGTCACCACCCCATTCATTCCGTGGGTGTCGTAAGAACCGACTAAGGGAGCAAACTACGCAGGCAACAACACTGTAAAGAGAAGGGAACTTGACACAAACTCTATACCAACCATTCTGGCCAGCGTGGTATAGGCTGGTATATATATAGGCTGTTGATGATGATGACCTGAGTCTATAAGGCCATTGACTTTAAATTTTCATTTATGTAGAATTAAGAAGCTTCTAACTTGTTCTTCTAACATAGAATGCTTTTTTCTGGATTATTTGATTTGATCCGAATTTGAGCAGAGATGCGAAATGTCTGTCTAAAAACAAAAGTAATATCAGTAACTAGGTTATAAACGTAGATATTTCCAAATATCCTTCCGACGGGGTTTATGTTGTTGACGTTGTTTGTTTATGTGATCGAGAGGGGTTCAGGTTTCATTCAGGTTTGATATGTGTGACGCGTTTGATATTTATAAAAGTAGTAGTCCAGGCTCTGTGGTAAAAATAGGCGTTCCCCAAGGTACTATTCTCGGCCCTTTTTTTGTTTTTAGTATATATAACGACTTACCTCACCTTGTCAAGGACAATCTCGAGATTGTGTTGTTTGCAGATAATACATCACTATTATTTAGATTAAAACGGACACTAACTAATTTCACAGACGTAAACAGCGCCATTTCGAAAGTGGTTCATTGGTTAGACGTCAACAATTTGCTTTTAAATGATACGTATAGTGTATACGTTTCACTATGCCAAACGTCAAGCCCGTGAAATCTACTGTGATGATTAAGGATGTCGAATTAGACCTTGTGGACTCTACGACATTTTTAGGCCCACCCACATATTGATCAATTATCGAGTAGACTCAGCTCAGCAGCATACGTATAGTGAGGTCATTTTAATAGGTAACATTTGACAATTCATCAAAATTCAACAACGTAACCTTGTAACGGCGGACATAAAAAATAATATATTTTTTCGTTTTGTTAGAACTGCACACTTTTTTTTAATTACGATTACATATTTATTGTAATAATGACCGATACGAGTAATTTTACGACTTGCTTTCACTAATAAACCATTCTAAACATAATAAACAATTTCTGATCTAAAGAACTGAACGTTGTTACAATGTTGCGCCAGTTAACACTTTTTCTTTTTAAACGCTAGGGATGTTACTCTAAAAATCGAAAGCTGATAAGTAGAATCGAATGCAATGATTACTTGTGAAGAAATATCACTATAAATCAATAACCACGTTGTGATTATAATAAAACATTATTATATTTATTATTCTTTTAACTATAAAAATACAAAAAATAACTAAATAGAAAAATCATTGATGTTAGGTACAATTTAGGTGAGATATTGCTGGCAACACCTGTAACGTTGTGGTTCATAATAAAACGTTCATTTGAGAAATCAGTAAGCGGTTTCTATTTTGTTACAAATGAAATCTTACAATAGACGACCAACGCCTCTTAGCCATAGACAACAGCACGTAGTTGTCTATACTTTACAACACCAGTGCCTGTCGATGACGCCATGTCATGTTGCCATTACATGACGCAGTCTTTTGTCGTTGTGCGAAGTGACTGTGCGTTTTTGGTGTGCTCTCTGTTATTTTCTCCTGACCCGGCTTTTTTATTGGACTGATCTTACTGACTACGTTTACCTGGCTATAAATTGGATTCCGATTGCTTAACGATTAGTAAACAAGAACAACATTACAGTCTTACCATGTCAAAACGGGGGAAAACGCTAAACAGTCAATCTCGCGAACTAGTGTTGTAATTGTACAATTATTTTGAACGTGAATCAGTTAACGATGAGCCTCTTTTACCATTGACACAACCGAGAGAACGCATTGCCGAAACATTGGGAATAGGCAAGAGGACAGTAACTCAAATTCTGAAAGAGAAATACGGACCATCAGGCTCAGAAGATAATACTTTGCGTACACCGAAAAAAAGAAAGAGACACAAGAAAATTGTTGGCGTTGATAATTTTGATGCTGCAGCAATTCGCAACCACATTTATGGATATTACTCGAGAAAAGAATATCCTACACGGGAAAAGCTAATGAGGTCGTTAAAAGACACAAGCTTATTTTTTTGCGGTAAATCGTCTCTATCAAAGGTTTTGAAATCGACTGGCTTTAGATTTAAAAAATTTGACAAGCGGAAAATCCTGCTAGAACGCTACGATATTATTTTGAAGAGAGTAACATTCTTACGTCAAGTAAATAAAATTACAGATTGGGACAATGTCGTGTTTATTGACGAAACATGGTTGAATGCGAACCATACGGTTTCGCGGACATGGACCGATGATACAGCGGCCTCCACCTCAAAAGTTCCATCGAGAAAAGGCCCGACTTATTATATGTCATGCGGGATCAGCTTCTCAAGGTTTTATTCCAGACTGCCTCCTCGCATTTGCTTCTAAAACTACAAGCGATTACCATGAGGAAATGAACTTTGAGGTTTTTAAAGAGTGGTTTGAGAAGCTGCTAGTCAGCTTAGAAAACCCATCGAAAATTATAATGGACAATGCACCGTATCCTTCTGTACAAGTTGATAAACCACCAACTCAAGCAAATAAAAAGCAAGAAATTGTCTCGTGGCTGGTAAGAAATGGTGTGGATGCAAGTCCAACTTTATTTATTTATTTATTTCAGTTAGGAAAACCAACAGCTACAAAAATGAAATGGTCAGATTGATATGCTACATCAAGCCAATTACAGGTTTTCACGAATAGAATCATTGTAAATAACAGAGGTTATGGAGCACTAACTAATACGACACTACACCTATACAACTATACAATAAATAATAATCGATCTAAAAATGTTACGATCTAAAAAATTTAAGGTTTAGCATACCGCGCACAACATTGCTTTTGGTATTAAAGGGATCAAGAGAGTATTCCTTGCACAATTTATTGAAATCTCCGCTCGCTCGCACAATATATGAATTTTTTCTATAGATTGAGGAAGAAATTGGAATAGAAATGGGTGGATTAAATCTAATCGACTTACGGGGGACATTAAAATTTAACTTTTGCAAAAGGCTAGGACAGTCAATCTCATTAGAAATAATTTTCAAAAGAAAAGAACAATCAGCTAATCGGCGTCGATTTACAAGTGGCTGGATATGAAATTTCTTACACAGACCAATGTAATTGTTTGAGCTATAAGGAATATTTAAACGAAAACACAAGAACCTCAGAAAACGTTTCTGTATGTTCTCAATGCGATCAATGTACTTATGATAGCAAGGGTTCCAAACTTGCGAGGCATACTCCAGGTGGCTCCTAACAAAAGTACAGTAGAGAATTTTTAGCGTTTTAGCTTTTACGAAACATTTGGCAATTCTCATTACAAACCCCAAAGCCTTGGAAGCTTTAGCAATAATTTGCTCAATATGCACATCGAACAGTAGCTTCGCGTCATGGTAAACACCAAGGTCACGTACCCCATCACGTCTTGGCAATACTTGTCCCTTAAGTTCGTATGGTGCTAGTATTGGTGACCGTTTTCTACCAAACGTGACGACTGAGCATTTAACGGGGTTTAGTTCTAATTTATTTAATTGACAGTAGTGATCAAGTCGTGATAAGTCTGATTGAAGCGCCTGCACATCGTTTGCCGATGATATTGCAGAATAGATCTTCATATCATCAGCAAAACAGAGCAGATTAGAACTTTGGAAGCAGGAGTCGATGTCATTCACGTAAATCGTAAAAAGCAATGGACCCATTAAGGAACCCTGGGGCACGCCGCTGAGGATAGAAACCCAACCAGAAATATAATTACTGACAACTACAGCCTGAGTCCGATTTTCAAGATAAGAGGAAAACCACCGAAGTAAGCCCCCCCTTATGCCACTGTTAAACAATTTTATTTTCAGTATGCTGTGATCTATTTTATCGAACGCTTTGCTATAGTCAGTATAAATAACATCGACCTGAGCACCATCATCCATGCCCTGCGTCACATAATCATTCAGTAGTACCAAGTTTGAAACGGTTGAACGTCCTCTTAAAAAACCGTGTTGTGATGGATTAAAAGTATTTTTAAGCGCCGCGTACACTTGATCGTAAACAACCTTTTCAAAGACTTTTGCCAAAACACATAATTTGGAAATGGGTCTATAATTAACAATTTCAGTTTTTGGCCCTTTCTTGTGCACGGGTGTAACAAACGCAGACTTCCAAATCCGAGGAACAGCACAAATAGTAAGTGATTTCTTAAATAACAGCGATATCGGCAAAGCTACAGTTTTAGCACATTTTATTATAAATTTAGGTGATAGGTAATCAGGGCCGGCTGACTTCAATGGGTCAAGGCCACTCAGAATTTTAGTAATAAACTCCAAATTAATTTCAATTGAATTAATATCACAAGATGTGTATGATGTACTTGCAGTACAGGTATTCATAGCAGTATCACTAACTGGATCAATGAAAGTGGAATGGAAATGTGAAGAGAACGCATTGCATATTTCATCAGCAGATGAGATCGATACGCCACCATAATTAAAGTAACTAGGTATTGAATTAGATTTAGAGCGTTGCTTTACAAAACTCCAAAAATACTTAGCATTCCTTTCAATAGATTCTTCAGTGGCAGCTAGGTAATTAGAGTAGCAGTCAGCCTCAAGTTTCTTCACCCTATCACGTAAAAGCCTAAACGTAGCCTGGTCAGAAAGTCTGCCATATATCTTAAATCTACGTAGGTATTTCGATTTTTCTTTTATTAGTCGTTTAAGTGAAGAGGAGTACCAAATCGGATAAGAATTATAATATATATTCTTGCTAGGAACATATTTATTTTGAATATAAGCTAACGTATTATAAAAATAGGTCACACATTCGTCGAGCGTCATATTCATCATCCCGGTACAACACGGTATCCCAATCCACAGCCGACAATTCTCTATTTATCGAAATAAAATCACCCTTCTCATAAGTTTATTAAAAGTAGAGTTGTTTAATCTGGTAAAAGCAACTAAGCCGCCCAAGCTCCGCTTTGTAATCGATGAACTGGCCCTAGAGCATGGACACGAAGTTATTCGAGTGCCTCCCTACCATTGCCAGTATAACGCCATCGAGCTTATTTGGTCACAAATAAAGAGTCTTGCAGCGCGGAACAATACTGAGCCACCCTTCAGTACTGCTAAAATGATGACACTTCTACAAACTGCGTGTGCAGAAGTCACTACAGAAGACTGGAGAAAAGTCGTAGAGAAAACAAAGAAAATAATTTTACAAGATTTTGAACGAGATGTGAGAATAGACAATATTGTTGAAAATGAATTAATAATATCTCTGAGTGCTGACAGTAGTGATGAAGATGACAATACTAATAACAGTTCTGATAGTTCAACTGAATAAATGCAATATTTTTGTTAAATTATGTACTTGTCTTATTTTGCTCTTTAAATTTACGAAAGAAAAAATTATAATGGGACAGGGATTCGTCTGATGATTTTTTAAATTCACATTTGTTTCAAGTCCGTATCGATTCATTCACTTGAATCGATGTTTTTAAGCTGGTCACCTCACTATGAAGACTGAGAGAAGACTGAAGAACTGACAGACGTCAAATGTTACCTATTAAAATGACCTCACTTTAGTAAGAAAAATTCGAGAGTTGACTGATGTTGATACAGTACGACTTCTTTACTTCAGTTATTTTCATAGCATCATGTCGTCATATTTTACTGTGGGGAATGCCGACATTCAAACTATTTTTGTACTTCAAAAGAGCGATTCGAGCAACTTATAATTTAGGGAATCGTTGTTCCCTGAGGAAGAAATTTAAAGAAATAAACATAATGACGGTGGCGAGTCAATATATATTTGGAAATGTAATATATTTTCATAAAACTAAGTATAGCTTTTTGAAAAGAAGTGATGTACATTCTATAATTTATACTAGAAATAGAAAAAAAGTGTGTCTAGGCTCCAAAAGATAAAAAAGTCTTTTCGAGGTCAATGTGTCCGATTTCATAATAAGATCCCAAATAATATTCAAGACTTAAGTATCGTGAATTATGTCAGAAAACCAAAACAATATTGTGGTATAAATAAATAAATAAATATTTTTTCTAAATACATACATACATATACTACATAGAAAACACCCAAACTCCGAAACAAATATTTGCAGATCATACAAACATTTGGTCCGATCCGGGAATCGAACCCGAGACCTCAGCACAGCAGTCGCATACGCTACCTGCTGCGCTACCGCGGCAGTCGATTATTATTATTAGGCAGGTATATTTAATGATGCCATTGTATCTATCTGTAAATTGCAAAAGAGTGGCTATGACTTTGTTTGCCCTTTATGCTCATAAGGCTCAACCCCTTGGAAACAGGCGGTTGTAGATCGGCACAGGCATATCATAGATTTTGTATAAATTAAATTTTTATTACATTTATTTCGCTTACTATTTGACAAAACAGAGATTGTTGCTATTGTGTGTGTTGATCTATGACTTTAGACTCTACATAAACTTATATAAATATGGCATAAATACTATACTAATTAATTGAATTACTAATTAATTGAATATCACATTATAATACCAAATATCAGAAATACACTTTTAATAATAACATTTGTTTGCGATTCTTATCTAAATAAACAGCACACACACAGCTTATCAATTCAGTATGAAAGCATTGTGAAACGTGCACATTCAAATGTAATTAATTTTAAGCTAGTCATTGTCCGAAGTCACCGTTCATTTTCTAAACAACAACTGCTATTACAAATAAATGCAGGCGTTCATGGGCGGCGGTAGTCACCTCCTATCACGTAACCCGTTTGCTCCTTTGCCCCTAAATCATAAAAAGAGATCCATTACAAGGAGTAATGGAGAACACTTTCATTTAAAAAGAGGTTTACGGGCAAGCTTTAAATGTGCTATGTTCAACTGTCATCGTTTTTTTTTTAATATTTGTCAAAGTATTTTTTTTTACGAAATTATTTCTTTTTGCTATTATCAACCATCTACTTCGGCCCAGTTTGTTAAGTTAATTACCATTTTGGTAATGGATAATCCAAAAAAATTTATTAATGATACAAAAATAGTTACAAAAGAAAAAAAAAATTGAGATTTGAAGTTCTAAAAAAAATTGAGTTAGGCAAAATTTCTTGAATAAAGTCAAATCTTTAGATTCTTGAAAAATAATAAGGTCTGGGATATAGTGTTTCATAGTGAAATCTATAACAAATAATGGCTGCTACAACCGCCTAAAGTATCTAGGTCGACTTAACCAGTAACCCTGTATATGCAATAAACTTAAGTACATAAAAGTTAATGCTAATTTTAAGCTATTTCTTTAGTCAATATCTTATTACTTTTTAGTAGATATAGGTACATTTATTAAACTTAAATATTTTTTAGTAACTAGAACAATAACTCAGGTTCCTAAAAGGCCGGCAACGCGTTCGTGACTCCTGAGTTGCAGACGTTCATGGGCGGCGATGGTCACTTTCCATCAGGTGACCCGTCTGCTCGTCTGCCCCCTCTATCATAAAAAAACCCTGTTTTCTGGATATTTGACAGATGTGACAGGGTCGAGCACGAAGATACTAGGTATATGCTTTGGACTTCAAACTGCGAGACGGGTGGGGACAAGTTATTATGGATGACTTTGCCCTTCTTAATTTATTTCTTTCTTGGAATCCTCATTTTTGAAGCACACCTTCTTGTTGCATATACACGAACTTTCTTTTAAAATTTTACATTTGACCGATTAAAAAACGCCGATCAAATTAATGTGCATACTTTTAATCAATATGAATATAATATTACTATCTAGTAAGTAGATATTAATTATGAATAATGTATTACGAACTAAGTTTTAATAATTACTATATTGTGATTTTGGTTATCATATACTAGCGTTAATGAGACTAGACAACATAATACATATGCACCTCTACGAGTCGGGAGGGATAATCGTTCTTACATTATTTTATGCATTGTAAACAATATTTACAAAAGTAAATTAAAAATAAGAAAATATAAGTTAGTGTTACTACTTATTATAACTTTTAACATTTACAATTTAATGTAAATATTAATTAACAATACTGTGTGTATTTTAGATACAATTGTAAATTAAAATTCTCCAATAATCTTAATAAACTCAGTCTAGAGTTTGGGCTCCATATTTTATTACTAAACATCTGGCTTTCTCTGTCAGTTCTTTATCGACATTAAAACGTGAGCATTATATTTACGCTTACCGCTCTTTCCGCTTACCCTATGAAACGTGTACTTATTTGTCAACTTGTATTTCTATTAATTGTGAGATATACCTACTATAAGTATACGACGTATTCTACACGTATGTTTTCATCCGCCCTATTAAAATATAGTATAAGAGTTGTATTTACAGCGAATTTAAAATAAAATTTAAATTAATCGTCGTAATACACTCATTGGGAATGCATGCATACCATAAGGTATGGTTGAAATACCTATTAGAAGTCGAGCAAGGAGTTAACTACTTAATGGCACGACGTAAAAACCGCTTCGAAGGTGGTTTTTATTTATTTTTCGCGTCAGTTTTTTTTTTTCTCATTAATACACAGCTACTATTATATAATTATGTTTACGTGAATAAACGCGCTCACAATAGGTGTTAAGTATATAAATGTCTTACGTTTCGACCAGAAGGCCAATTCTCTTAATAAAAGTTCGTTCAAAATGCCGATCAACTCTCGATCTCGCAAGTGTCATAAAAGGTATTTTTGTATTCCGGTGAAAAAGTGTTGTTATTATTGTGATGACGATTGCCGATAAGTATTAATTATATGATAAGAATAGCTGTATTCGACAGTCAACACTCTATTTTGTCTAGGCTTCAACTGAATATCTGTTGGTCTAGTTTATTCATTGATCTGTCGCTTTAAGAGCAACTCGCTAATCTTTGTAACAGAATCGTTTTATAATATATTTTTGTTTGCCTTACAATATTGATTACTTAATAATATATATGTATACAGTAAATCACTTTTAAGACAAATTATGTGTAAATTAGATTACAACAAATTTTAATTTCTTCCGATTATATGTTCTTTTCTGAGTAATGATCTCCTGGATAAATATAGTATTTTCTTGCTTGCTCCCTAAAGTGTAGAAATAGTCTGGTCTTCCCTCAAAATATGTACCTCTTCCTAGAGCCTGCCTTCCCTAGACTTATAACCACCTACATAACATTTCTGTTGCCCATTGACATCGGTACGTCAGTGTGCTGCACAACATTTTCTTCATCATCCTCAAGAGCCAGGTGCTTTTCGACGAATCCCGATATGCAATCCAGCCAGCCGTGTTTATACATCACTTTTATCACACGTTTACGAAAAACAACTAGCAGTAAAAATATTAAAAGCCCTTGCAAGCTGTTGAACACGTCGATGATTGACCTGAGAACAACAATATAAATAATATTATTTTAAGAATACAAATAAACTAAGAATGCGATACCGTTTAGAGTGGTCTGCACTGCTTGATTTTTTGGTGAAAATCGTCATTTAGAAAACCTAAAAAAAGCTATATACAGGGTGTGGCGTAAATAGTGGTCCACCATTAAAGATTCGATAAACCAGATAATTTACTATAACATATTACAATTTTATCCATTTTTAACCAAAGGTTCCGGAAATATATTTTTATTTTTTTATGATATGTGTACCTCTTGCCACATCCTGTATATGAACCAAATTAAAAAAATTAAAGGCAGTGTTCCAGTTTCCGCTATAATAATGAGTTACGTAATTGAGTGAGTACCACCGGATATCTTTCGGGGACAATACATATTTTTGATGAACCTTATGTCCTTTTTGTACCACTGACAGTTACGAAGGTAAATTAAAATAGGAAAACCTATGTTGGCATTTATAATATTCATTATAAAGTTAGGATTCCAGAACATTGTTATTGTTATAATCACAGGTTTGTGACAGAGTCATGTCTGTCACTCTCTCTGATAACAGTTACTACAATGACGCTCATATTTCAGTCTGGCTTTTAGTTATCTAAATATTGATTTATACTTGATTGTCTCTACTGGCATACACGAAGCACTTCACCTGTTTACTTAATAATTTCTTTCAATAATATTACATATTAATTTCATGCAGCTGATGCAGTTCACCTCGACTCGGTTTGTTTGAGACTTAAAATACCGAAAAACAAATTGTAATGCTTGATAAATCCAACAGAACGATTAGAAATGTATTTTAATTCGTATATTCAATAATTCTGAATCCGTTCGGTACTTTTTAAATGACACGTTTTTTTTGCCCAAGTAAAAGTTGACTAAATTAAACGAAGATACGTTGGTTCCTTTATGCACTTGAATACAGTTATAAATTAGTATAGTTAAAAATATTGTAAGCACGACAAGTATAAGCAATATTAAGTTTGTATTATTGTTTTTCGACGTCAAAATTTGGTTAAAACTAATTTAAACATACCAAATAATATGTTTCTCGAGCAGAGATCCGACCATTTCGAACACCCACGGTAAACCCATCAATAAAATTAGTCGAACGCTCATTACAAATCTGAAAACACAACAAAGAAATTGTACAATAGTTATGATAATTTAAAAAAATATGTCTTGTACTTCTTCATTATCATTATAATCAACAGCTTTTAATAGTCAATTACTGGATATAGGCTTCTCCTTAGAAGGGAGGTTTTTGCCTACTATACCACGCTGGCTAAACAGGTTAACTAAATTATGTTTGCACGTAAGTTAAAGTGTAAGTATCATCAACTAGCCGATGCCTTAGTTTAGTGAGGTCAAGTAATAATAAAATAATTGTGCTATTAAACACAAAAGGAATTTTATAAATCGGACTCGTAGAATCTGAGGTTCAACAAACTCTCTAGATAATGTTAGATAATGCACTTATGGCTTAATGACATAACGCATTTTAGCGGACCTTTATATAAATACCACGTACTGTCTGGTTACTTAGGCAAGTCCATTAAATAACATTCACTTGCCTAAGTAACACATATATCTTTGTAGAAAAAGTTTTTTCTTATTAATATGACAGCTTTGCCATGTAGGATGATTATGTTGTTTGATTTTACAATCTTATGAGAAAGAGTATATTAAAAAATTATATGGAATATATAGAATTTTTTTTTTAATAGTCATCCATATTAATGCATATATTTTTCAAACATTATAAAATACCTCACTTTCATCTTTCTCAAGTGGAACGAGGTTTCCTCCGCTTTCTCTTCGTTTAGTTTTTGTCTAAGAATACTGACTAGATCTCATTCTTTTTAGTTTATTACTTTCTTACCCTTAAGTGGGTTCAGTTGAAAGAAACAATTTTGGATATTCAAGTTAACTTAATGCTGTCGAATACCACGAGACCTTAAATACAATGTACTTACAGTGTAGTATCTACCAAGCTTACTTGTATTTCAATGTCTTCAGATGACTCGAGGAGAAAGAGAGACGCCATATAACTAGCGATACATAAATGAAAATAGAGATGTTAGCAGCCAATAACAGCGACATCACACTGTACATGTAATACCATTGTTGACTTTTATCTGAAGGCAGAAACAGAAATTATATTTTATTTTATTTTTAATTTTACTTAATAGGTACAGTTACCGACATCAGATCATGTCTCACACAATAACAAGTAACAACGTACAATTTCAAAACTGAAGTCCATTTAAAACTATACACATCATTCACAATCGCGGTAATAGAGCTTATGTTTAGAGAATATTTTTATTTGTGGAATTAAAAACTTGTTTGAATGACAATTCTAATACTCGGTTCAATGTATTATTAAAATTGTAAAAGTAGAAAATACGTAAGGTTTTAGGTAAATTTCAGACTTTTTTAGGGTTCCGTACCTCAAAAGGTAAAAACGAAACCCTTATAAGATCACTTTCTTGTCCGTCTGTCCGTGTGTCACCACCGATTTTCTCAGGAACGGGTAGACCTAGCTAGTTGAAATTTATACCAGATACTGAGGTCCATGGTCCCTATTAGGTGTATAAAATCAAGGTCCTGAGTCAACACTTACAGCACAAGTAAAAAGAAAATTTTGAAAAATAAAAAAGTTGAAAACTAAGATAAATTTTGGTACTTACAAATAATCGCGAAAATCTACGTAAAATCTGGGTAGGTACGAAACCCTCGGCGCACGAGTTCAATTCGTACCTGACCGGTTTTTCTGATTTATTGAGTCATGGAATTTTATTTTTTGTGAACTCTAATGGAGACTGCGATTCTATCATATAAGAGTCAGGATGTGCGAAGTGGGTATATTTAAACTTTTTATCGGATCGGATTAGCAGACCGTCTCCAGGTGTTTTATAATTACCATTTTAGAACAGCATTGTGAAAGGTCTATTGCCGACAGGCATCGATTTGTAGCCGTGGCGAGGCTTGTTCTATGCCACGTAGCTGGGTGCCGCTAAAGCGACTGGATGCTCTGTACCGCCATTTCGAAGAACCGTAAGGTTTACGGGTAGACAGGGCTTTATAGTATTTATCTACATCACTATTTCAGATACACATATACTACTGAAAACTGGCATCTTCTGAAGATTGCCACAAAAGATTCGTCATGTGCCTTGATCCACGGAGCGCGGTTTCGTTAAACGAATTTTGTTAAATATAATAATATATACATATAAACTTACTAATGAACCAACAGTGGTTAAGACCAATACCAGGTTTCTGGTGTTTACCAGGGTGGAAGTTCACTATCGCCATACACACGGTGAGAAGAGTAGGACTTCCCCAAGAGTATAAAAAATACCATTTGAATTCATGCCAGCTGTAGTCCAATGTTGCCGGCCGTCTGAAATAATTTTATTTTACCTTCATTATAATTTTACGAACTTACGTGCACTTATTAATTGATAATAAGGCAAACAATGTTTACCTTGTATTTAACAGCACCTGTATTGAAATAGCATTTGTCCAGAAGAATGCAGCGATTATAAAAAAGTATGTCAAAAACCCTGAAAAAAATTGGTATCGTATATTGATAAAAACATAAGGTAACTGGCGACACACATAGGTACACTAAGCAAAGTACGAATGTTTCAAGGCGGAGCAGCCTAACTAAAAGAAAACTGGGCCTACAAAATATGGGTGACAAAAGAAACACGAACGTTAATTTTCCATACCATGATTTATACCGGACACACACTATATACGAGTATATGCTACACGCTCTTCTTTACACATTACTAGACCATTTGTTAACATTTCAAAATTATTAAAATGGTTCTGTGATTGATTTAATGAAGTAGCAAATGAAATCAATAGTAATAAGAATCCAATTAAAGAAAAACACGTAATTTCATAAAATTAATATAAAATTGAAGGTCAATCAAAGGCAAGCAAATTCGGTATTCATTCATCATAGTTTGCTCTTAAATTGATTGATTGTCTTAAAGTAAACGAGGTAATTGAATAGATTTTCTTGCCGATATCCGACCGGATTATTAATTTATCCCGGATAGAAATGATTAAATAAGTAATCTCCATTCATTCAATAGTAATGAATCAATTTCCTTTATCTTCTCAAGTAGCTCAAGGCAGTAAAAACTAAACGAATAAATGACTCATGCAATTTGTACTACAAAAAATCAGACGTTCCAAGAGATTCAGAGGTTGTGTAAGTTGTATTTTTTGTATCCCTGAAACGTCCTATTGTATAGAACGGCTCACCAATTACGGAAAGCCGCCTGGGCACGGCCAAAAGCAGTTATTGACGCATGGTTGAATCGTCTGTGGAGTCCAGCCACGTGCTAATAATGTTAAATCGTCATTGGATGTGCTGACAAATGTTTAATCAAGTTGAAGATAAAGATTACCTCGAGTTGCACACAGATCCATGTCGGAGTACTCTGCTAACTTCAAAATGACAAGTATTCCCTGACCAATAGCTAAACTTATGCAGAAATTTATAATGCTCTTGCCTTGTACATCCCTGGAAAAAAATATATTTTAGTGTAAAAAAAACAAAAATCTAAAGCTATGAGTATGAGAATATAAAGTTAGCCCTTGAGCAAAATTACTAAAATAGTTAGGTTATTAAGTTAAAGTTGAGTCGAGGCCAACCCGGTCAGGGTCGTATAACTGTAACTCGGGCTGGATATTACTGATAGCTCCGAGCCTTCTAATTGTAGATGGCAAAAAATCCTGGGCCAGTCTCTTAGTAACAACGTTGCAGTAAGCCATGTATGTATTTTTATAATATCTCACATACACATAGGTGTTTATTTACAGGGGCGGTGAAACGCCTACATTTTGTTCCACTTACGTAAAATATTCATAACTAAATATATATATGTATACATATTCCTTTCGTAAGTTACGTTATTGACCGAGTGCAGGAACGGATGTCGTGTCCCTCCAACACAAAGGGAGGATCCTCCGACCAGGCGTGGTGATCATGCCTGGCCGGGCGCGTGCCAATGGTTGATGTTGGTAAGTTGTATATATGCTAATCGGCGAGAAAATTCTTCATATCGCGATACAAAATACAATTCTCATTCAGGAGTTTCTCCGTAGTTCAGTGTGTCTTGGTTAGATGGCACTGCAGTATGTTTCTGCATTTCATTCTATGTGGAGGTCGCCACAACCGAAAATTTTATCAAAACTAAGCGTTTGTTAATTTACAAATTATTCTTTAGCGATTTTCCAAATGTATGAAATGATCACCTCGTATTTTTTATAGTGTCTGTTCGTTTATTTCATCTTTTTAAAGAAACATGAACCTATATACATAACATAGCTTAGTCATCATATAATCTCACCTGAGCTCGGGTAATGCAGTGTAAATAAGTCCTGTTGGAATTAAAAATAACACAGATACTATCATACAGTATCCCAGTATCTTGTTATCAAGAATCTCTTCTTCTTCATCATTACATACGAATGCAGCTTCCGTTACATTATTTAGAAATGTTACATCTTGTTTTTTGGTTACATTGCCGATACAGTATCTACAAATTAAACAATAGATTTGGTATGTTATTTTTATGGGAACACAGCACACAGTGCTTCTTAAGTACATACAAAGTATACCTATTAGCTGTACATAAATAGTAAACACTAAAATTTTAGGGGAATTCGTAGTTCTAGGGTATACCTGGTTCCCCGGCTATTAGTACCCGAGACGGCGTGCGGTTTTAGTCGGTTCGAGTCCGACATGCCACCGATAGGTGGTATCCGAGGGGATTTCCGCACGGAAAAAAGGGAATTCGTGGTTTTTAAAATATAAAACTTGTTTTGGAAATGATAATTTAAAATAAAAAATTAAATGATGGAGCTTAAATTTCGAGATAAAATATTTAGCTTTCTAATATATAGGTACTTCCAATATATTAATATGTGCATCATGGCCGTGTGGTTCTCGGCGGAGTAGAATAAGGCCAACCCATCTCTTCCCGTGGGTGTCGTAAAAGGCGACTGAGGGAATCTTTTGGACTGTTTATCATCAGACAGTATATATACAGTCCGTGCGGTACTTGTCTTTGCGGTTGGAGAGGCCACCAGGGCCTCTCCAACCGCTGGATATTGGTACATACCGCAGTCTAAGTCCTGTCTCCCATCCTAGTACTCCCCCACCCTAATTTTCCTCTCTCATCCAATCCTCTCACCCCCGATGTTTCCTTTTTTCCCTTTCCTATCGTATAAACGACTGGGAATGTCCCAAGGAGGGTTGGCGACAGGCAGGCGGCTGGCCATAAAATTAATTAGCCAAAACCATTTTAATGCAGTATAGTATGATACAAATTGAGTACGACAGTGCTAGGGCGTACCCCGTAGGCGACGCGCGGCAGCAGCACCCGGCTACGCGAATAAGTGGACAAGGGTTGTTGCACCACCCGAGGCGGGTGCAACGTAAGAAGCAAGCCCGAGAGGTGAGGTTGAGGCATGCAAGTTGGAATGTAGGGAGTATGACTGGAAGAGCGAGAGAGCTAGCAGATGTGTTGAAAAGAAGAAGAATAAACGTGGCATGCTTGCAAGAAACAAAATAGAAGGGTACGAAAGCAAGAGAGATAGGAGAGGGGTACAAGTTTTATTACTGCGGAAGTGATGGGAAGAGAAATGGAGTGGGGTGTAGTATTGGATAGTGCCCTGAAAGAGTGTGTGACGGATGTAAAGAGAGTGAACGATAGAATAATAGTACTAAAATTAGTATGGGAGAGCGTAATTATGAATATTGTTAGCGTGTATGCACCTCTAGCTGGATGCAAGGATGAAGTGAAAGAAAAATTTTGGGCCGATTTTGACATGGTTTTCACAGGTATCCCTGAAAGTGAAGAACTTTTGATAGGTGGAGATTTTAATGGTCATGTGGGAACAACGAATGAGGATTATGAAAGAGTACATGGAGGAAGGGGGTTCGGAAGTAGAAACATTGATGGTGAGTCTCTGCTCCAGTTTTCCTCTTCGTTTGACCTGGCAATAGTTATCACATGGTTCCAGAAACGTCATGAACATCTGATCACGAATAAAAGTGGTAGCCACGCGACACAGATTGACTACTTTCTCAAAAAGAAGTAAGTTGGTTTGTGTCCGAGACTGCAAAGTGGTGCCCGGGGAACCCGTAACGTATCGCAACATAGATTGCTGGTAATGGAGGTCAAATGGAAAAGTTTGAGTAAGAGTAGGAAGAACCGACCTTCTCCAAGAATCAGGTGGCGAATGTTAGAGAAAGAAGAGTATGCAAGTAACTTTAAGGTAAAGGTGGTAGAAAAAATGATTGAAATGAATGCAAGGCTAATAAGTCTGTGGATGGATGGTGGAGTGAAATGGCAAATTATATACGAAAGATAGCGAGAGAAGTACTTGGGGAAACAAAGGAAAAGGCATTGTTGAAAGAGATACATGGTGGTGGAGTGATGAGGTACAGAAAGCTCTAAAAGAAAAGAAGGATGCCTTTAAAGCGTGGAAAAATGAAAAGGTCTGTGAGAGAATGAAGGAAGTCAAAATGAATGAATATAAAGAGTGGAAGAGAAAGGCAAAAAAAGCGGTAGCGGTAGCCAGAGCTCAAGCTCAATATAACATATTTAAACACCTACATGAACCTAGAGGTCAAAAAGAACTCTACCGCATTACAAAGAACAGGGAAGAAAGAGCAAAAGACCTGAAGCATGTGAGATGTATAAAAGATGAAGAGGGGAGAGTGTTGGTTAAAGATGAAGATATAAAAAAGCGATGGAAAACTTACTTTGAAAAACTTATGAATGAAGAGAATAAATGGAGCGGAGTGCTAAAGCATGTGGATGTGAATGTCGGACTGGTGAACGAGATTAGTATAGATGAAGTTAGATTGGCAGTACGAAGTATGAAAAATGGAAAAGCAGTTGGCCCAGACGGTATACCGGTGGAAGTTTGGAAGCTACTGAAAGAATACGGATATGAGTGGCTGACTCTATTCTTCAATATGTTGTTGCTTGAAGAGGTAATCCCAAAGGAATGTGGTAGAATATATTATATATATGATAGTCTGGGAGAAAGTGATTGAGAGAAGAATAAGAGATGATAGTCAGATAACCCAAAGTCAATTTGGGTTTATGCCAGGACGCGGGACGCGGGAAGCTATATTTGCAATGCGCCAACTAAGTGAGAAATACAGGAGTGCGCACAAAAACTTGCATATAGTGTTTGTGGATCTCGAAAAGGCATATGAAAGGGTACCCCGAGAGGTTTTGTGGTGGGCTTTGAAAGAAGAAAGAGTGCCTGTAAAGTATGTAGAATTGATTCGTGCTATGTACAGAAAGTCTAGCACTCACGTAAGGTCGGTCACGGGAAACACTGATCAATTCAGTGTCTCTGTAGGCTTGCACCAGGAATCAGCTCTAAGCCCATACCTCTTCCTGTTGATAATGGATGCTCTGACATCGGACATACAGGAGGAGGCACCTTGGTGCATGCTATTTGCAGATGACATTGTGTTGGTCGGTGAAGATGGGGTTGAGGTCCAGAGCAGACTGGAAAAATGGCAGCAAAGGCTGGAGAATGTTGGCTTGAAAATCATAACATGTTCTGCGATTTCGGCGGTCTCTCCAGTCCTGAAACCATTTCGCTGGATGGGATAGTGATAACAGTCTGCTCCAATTTCAAGTACCTCGGCTCCCTCTTTCAATGTGATGGTGAGATTGATCGAACTGTACAGCATCGAATCAATACGGGATGGATGAAGTGGCGGCAGGTAACGGGAACAACTTGTGACCCCAGTTTCCCCTTAACACTGAAGGGACAAATTTATTTATTTAATTAAAGCATGGATGTGTGGTGTGACTCAGATGGACAAGGTTAGGAATGAGTATATACGAGGGAGTCTGAAAGTAGCGCCACTGGATGAAAGAAGTAATAGGTTATCTTGGTATGGACATGTCATGCGGAGGGATGAGGAAAATGTGGCGAAGAAAGTTTTAGGTATGAGAGTTGAAGGGTACAAGAGAAGAGGCAGACCGAAGAAGAGGTGGACGGACTGCGTCAGGAAGGATATGGCTAGGAAGGGAGTGAACAGTGAGATGACGCATGACAGAGTAGAATGGAAAAATCATACATACTGCGCCGAAATTGGGAAAAGGGTAGGCAGATGATGATATGATATTAATATGTGCATCTACATAATAAAAGCATTTGGCGGCAAAACCATAAACGAGTTATAACGGCAGTATGATGTATTATGTAAGCTTTCTTTGTAGCTTCCGCTGTCAGATATTTTACTATTTTATTTAACACATATATAGCTATAAATAGTTTCATAATCGTAAACGTGTTGTCGTGTTACCTTGAGTACACCATATGGAAGTGCTAGCCACTAATTTAATAGCGCCTCTATATAGTGCATCGAACTGTAAGTGGTACTCATTACCTTTGAAGCTTAGTTTGGATCTTACGAGTATACGAGTAATGGTACGAAGTATGTAGAGCATTGATTGGTGTAATTTCGAATATACTATTTATGTATTATTCGTCCTCTCACAGTTTTAAGCTACTTACTACTACTGTTTCATTTTATGTTTGTAATAAAAGAGTAAGTGTTTTTAGCTTCTTCTAAGTAACTATAACATTCCGTTGTGAATCTTAGGAGTAGAAAAGGCTAGTTATTTTTTTTTCTTTCTAAAAACAGTAATAAAAATTTACTACCACAGAGTCTTAGTAATTAGTATAACGGAGGAGAAATAGTAAAGGGTCGGTTGGGTCTTGTTTTGTATATTATGATTGATCCATGTCTAGAGGTGGCACTCTCGGAGAAAAACTAAGATTCGATCCAAGTGGGTGAATTGGAAGGTGACGAATGTCATGGATTCTAATTAATCGGTGTCGGTCTAAACTATTTGTCCTGAAATAGGTTTCATGAGACATCATCTAGGGATCTGACATCCAGGGAGCTCGAGATTCAGAAAATGGAAAAATAATAAATTAGTTTCCCGACTGCATTATTTTTATTTATTTGTTTTTATTTATATTTGTTTTGTTAACTTAAAAGTGATTTGAATAATGGCTATATATACCAATAGCTAAAAGTCCTTAATAAAAGCAACTGATACAATAAAATATTTAGAATAAAACCCATTGACGTACCTATATGTAAATCAAAATATCAATTCACATTGATGGTGTGCTTGTTTTCAAAAATAAATGTTTTAAAATATTAAAGAGAAATAAAAGATAATAATATAAATATTAAAATATTAATATTTGTATATTATTAAAAAAGAACGGAATAGTAATGTTAATCTAACAGAAAAATCTTTAAGTTGTTTCAATAAATTCGAATTATGAGTAAAAACAGGTCCTTTAAACGGGGTTAGCAGGGTATTTAAGACAATAATTTGCATTTCAAGAGAATTTAAATAAAAATATATTTGTAGAAAAAGTTCTTATATATAAACGAAAACCATTTCAAAGACATATAAAAATATATAGACACATATTCTAATAAGAATATCCTTTTACTACGTAGAATAATCGAGGTTACGTTAACAGTAAATACAAGGATGTTTATCGTACCAAACTATTGAAATTTTCCAAAATTGTAGGTTTTATTTAGGGTTACAGATTTTTTAAGTTTTTGTTGCAATGACCACCTCAAACAATATCTTTTGTTTTAACAAGAGATAGAGAATTCAAACTGTTGATCTAAGACAAAATTGTGTGCGAAAATATTAATAATATTTTTATTGTTGAAATGTGATCTACTTACACATCAATCACGGTAACTAAATCATCTCCAAGAGCCATACGCATTTGATTATCTTCGGTGATTGTATAATATTTTTTGTTAATTCGGTAAGATTGATTGCACTTTAAATTTATTTGACTTGTCACATTAGTGCTTGGGTTCCAACATACGTTTCTTCTTGCCACGACCACTTGGCCCTCCGGACAACAACGATGGTGCGCTGCAGTACATGCAACGAAACTAAGTATACAATAAAAAATATTTAACTCTTTAAAAATCATTTTCTACTATTTATATTATCATTTAAATGTTTTTTATTAATAACTACTTCTGTTTTCGAAAAGTTCATTCAGCTGAATTTCCAATAACCACTTGTTATTCACACTGCACTATTTATCTAATTCACTTCCCAGATCAATTCGTATCTCTGCGATATTTTGTTCGTAACGTATACGTAATGTTTAAATCTGATAGTGTAAGGCCCGTATGTACGTTCGACTTCTGCGATGATATTGTATCTACTGAGCGAAGCCGCGTTGCCTCGACGTACCCATTAGTTTTTATCAATTAAAAGATGTAAAAATTAAAATATTATCACGACGCGATCGTACGCATGTACGCGGCGACAGACGGCTCTTTGCAAGTCTTTAGGAAAGCCTAAGCGTTTCTGAGATCCCAGTAATAATAAATAGATAGTGGACTTATGTATAAAACAATGAGAAAAATTATGAAAATAGTATTTTGAATATATTTCATCAAACATTTAACAAAACTGCTAAAAAAGTATTAATGTAGTAAAAATATATGTATATAACCTACCATGAGTACAAATACATATTCGATTGCATGGTTTAAAAACGTCTTTTAAAATAATACTGACATAAACCGAATATTTGGATTGCACGTGATGACTATATTCTTGAAGAAGTTACTATTAAACTTTACGCTATTATTACTTTAAGGACCGGAACTGAGAACGTAAACGTAACCGCAGGACAACTATCGTGATGTCCTTATAAATAGTTTTCAAATTTGAGTACTAAGATTTATTTTTGTTGCAGCTATTAAATATGCTCAAGTTCTACGCAAGATTTGAGATCAGCGACGAAACCGGCGACCCTATGACTGACCGGGATATGACTTTACTTCATTATTCCAGAATTACTTCTTTACAGGTAACGTTTTGGGAATTTAATATAATACGAAATTATTTTATTAAATACGTATTCAATCACAGTTTCTTGATCACACAGAGACACTTTACATATCTAATTGGATAGCTTTTTTATTTTATTTTTTGTGTTATTAGTTTTGAATTGATCAAGTACTAAACCACTGATTGCTCTGCACCATATTAGCTATTCCTAACACTGCTGATTGACCTCGTGGTAAACAAGTGGTAAAGTAAATTTCTTTTGTAATATACTTCAAACTGTTAATAATGTAATTTCCTTATCTTTTTTTGTCTGGCAAGTGTTACAACATTGTATTTCAAATTATTTGTTATGACCATATTCATTTATTTTTTAGAAAGCAGCTTTCTCAAAATTTCCAGACCTACGTTTGTTTGCTCTAGCAAATGTCGCCAGTGTAGATACGAGGGATTCTTTACATAGACATTTCGGAAATCTAAGGTAATTTTTAAAAGGTTTTATTTTGCTTGACCTGTTCAGGTCAAATTTAGTAGTAAGAAATGTACCCCCTTGTTATTGACCGATTGATATAAAATTTGGCACACACCTTTAGTTCTGAGAACATCACTATATCCGTGCCATTATAAATCCACGATGGCCTCCACTAAAAAGGCGGATTACATTTTTCTTCAACCGCCTTCAATAGGTATCAAATGAAAGAACTTGACTAGACTTACTATTTACAATGGGGTGACCATTGTGAATAGTAATACCACAAAATGCCTCATTTCATAAACTTTTCGTACAATATCTACATTATCATTATTTTTCTTAAAAATAAAACTGTTTAACAAAAAAAAACTATTTTATAAGATGTAGTTTACCGATTAACCAGTCTAATAAATGATAGCTAAAAATAATGACAGCGGTTACTTAGTTTACTTACGTAATACATGAGTATTAAGTATTTAAACCTAGTAAAACCAGGCCAAAACCTCTTTTCTAAGGAGAGGCCTCTGTCCAGCAGTTTACAAATAAAGGCTGTTGTTGATGATGATGAAACCTAGTAATGTTAAAACTTTTGCTGGCGAATAAAGCGAAGGAACTACAAAGCTTAGCTCTAATGGTTTATTAATATTTTAGTGAAAAGGCCTTACGTGCGATTGCTACATATCTTCATCTCGTTCCTCCTGAAGGAAAAGAAAGTGAGTCACCATGGCATAGACTAGATAAGGAGTTCCTGAAAGAATTGTTGGTAAGATATTAAGTACTATTAAATCAGCAGCAGCTAATTCTTCGAAGTTTTCCTATAACATTCTAAGGTCTGATTGGCAAAAATCATTTGAAATAATGTGAGTAGCCTTACTGCGAGTAACCTTACTGCGAGTTGATTTGAAAATGCCTATTTAATTACTTTATACGGCAATATGCCATTGGATGTAAATAAGTTGGCTGTTAGCCATGGCATGCCATGAGTATTTTTCTCTCTGTGTATGCAAGTCTATGTACCTTATTCAATATTCATTTGTCCGCATTGTATTGACCTATTAAGTACTTACTAAGTGTATCATCTTATTACGATGTTATGTTACATTTTGATTTGCAGATTTCTCGCCACGAACGTCGCATTTCGCAACTCGAAGAACTAAACTCAATGCCGTTGTATCCTACCGAAGAAGTCATATGGGACGAAAACGTTGTCCCCACAGAGATCTATAGCGGAGAAAATTGTCTGGCCTTACCTAAACTGAATCTTCAGTTCCTCACCTTACACGATTATTTATTGAGGAACTTCAATCTTTTCCGGTTAGAAAGTACATGTAAGTACTATAAATGGCTATCCGTTCGAAAATACGTAACAAAAACTCGACGCCTACAGATCCGATCCGGCCCCATTGCTGTAGGAAATTAGAATGGACTTACCATGAAAATAGACTATGTCTTCAATCTATATAAATATCTAAGTATCCTGAATCTTAAAACTTCTGTATTTAGATAAGGTCTTTTTTACTTGTGGTTTACAAGTAGTAAGTAGTTACATTGTGTTTGAATTAATATTTAAACGTCTGCATCTGCTCAGGTTTTATTAAAGTACTTCCATTAAGCTGTTTAAACGTAGAACGACTACACTGTAATCGTAAAGGGAGTTATAGTAATCGAAATATATAGGCGTATGTGTTAGATGTTGTTTGTCTGATGTTGAGTATTTTTTCAGATGAAATTCGTCAAGACATTGAAGATGCTGTATACAGATTAGCACCTTGGTATGTATTTTACTGTAATTGATTGGCCTTGAACCTTGCGATTATAACAAAACACAAAACTAGGTCAAAGCGCAATTTCACTTTCAAATAAGACTAATGTTAGTCTAGAGAGTTTGCTTTACGTCCGCGATTTTGTCGAAATTGAAATTTTCGAATTTTTGCATAATATATTTTTATATTCATAATAATATATTATATTTAGTTATTCTTTTATATTTTCATAATGACAAAAATCATTATAATTATGAAAGAAAAATCACAAATAAACATTATTGAGTCACTTTCTGTATCTTCGCTGTTGAACTCTTTTTATGTTCATGTATTTTTTTGGTTAACCACTACTTGACAACCCAGTGTTATTGTTTTATTAATTATCCCAAACCAATAAGAACATAAATTCAAACCAATATTGTTTCCAAATACATTTTTTTTAAATTTCCTTTCACAGGCGATCTGAAGACGGCAGTGTTTATTTCGGTGGATGGGCCCGAATGGCTCATCCCATCACCAGTTTTGCTGTTGTTGAGGTCGCTAAGCCGAATATTGGTGAAAAAGCACCCTCATGTGTCAGAGCTGACGTCACTGTTACTCTTAGTGTGAGAAATGAAATCAAACATGAATGGGAAAGCTTAAGAAAACATGATGTTTGTTTCTTAGTGACTGTTAGACCGACTCAAGGAATTGGTGAGTGAGACGTCTATGAACATTTTTGCATTTTTTCTACAGTCTTGGCACTAATGGCCGGCTATTGATATAATATAATAATTGTAGATAGAGTAGCTTAAAATAGACCATTGGTCAGAATTTTTTATTACTTAGTCAGATAGTTTTTGTATGTTCTTCTACTGTTTCCATAAGTGACATTTAATTTCCCTTTTTTTTAGGAACTAAGTATGATTATAGAAAAAGTATGGTTGAGCAAGCAGGTATAGTTTATGTAAGGGGTTGTGAAGTGGAGGGCATGTTGGACGCTTCTGGGAGAGTTATTGAAGAAGGGCCAGAACCGAGGCCAGAATTAGAAGGCGATGCGAGGACCTTCCGTCTGCTTCTCGATCCTAATCAGTACAGGCTTGATCTGGATCACGCCAGTAAAGGCACCGAGGCGAGTTTCCTTTTACAAAATATTTAGCAGTACATTATAATAATAATAAAATTATTCATTAGAAGTTGGTACACATTACAGCACCTATTGTTTATACGTTAACCAGAATTAGTTCTTAAAATAGAAGATGTTTTGAAAACTTACAAACGATCTGGCAATTCGAAATCACGTACGGTTGAATTTATTTTCGTTTTTAAATATTTTATTACAATGTACCAACGTTGAAAGTAAAAAGTTTGTATGAAAATAGATCTTTGACTACAGTCAAAATTAAACTAACGGTGTTCCTTCTTTGTTTGTAACAGGATGTATATGAAACTTTCAACATTGTGATGAGGCGCAAACCGAAAGAAAATAATTTCAAGGCGGTTTTGGAAACGATTCGAGAGCTGATGAATACAGAGTGCGTTGTTCCCGAATGGCTTCATGACATTGTACTAGGTTACGGAGATCCTGGTCAAGCACACTATACCAGGTACGTGGTTTCTCGATGTTAGGGCGTACACACAGCATTTTTCTGGTCCAAAGTTAATAGTCAAGACTTTCATAGTTCCACATAATCTTACACAAAATTAATCAATTTATAATATGACATTGGACTGAAGGTCGCTGTAGCCGATAGGTGCCAGAGTGGAGACCGCGATGAGGCAAAGGTAGTGTAGGGCGCAAAATGGCTGTCAGCCAACATCCAACAATATTGATTTTTATCTCTGGTAAATATTAGACCATGATGAAGCTTCCAAATGTTATTTAGGTTTCGCCGGATGACAGTCGAAACTTAAGCCGAAAACTGTTATCCCCGTAACTAGGTCCAAATCCTAACCGAGATTTCGATCGCATACTATATTTTTTATCACTGATCGATTTTACGTTTGTCACTTAATGTTCCAAGATCAAGATGATGGTGGTGATATAACAGCTTAAACAACGCAATAATCAAAAATCTTGATTTTTGTATCTAATTATATGTACTCGTATACTTCAAGGGCTTGATAATAAGTATAAAAATAAAACGTTACTTACAACGTATTCACTTTTATAGGATGCCTAACGAAATACCTACGCTGGACTTCAACGATACGTTCCTAGACATGGAACATCTCAGAAGCAGTTTTCCTGGTTACGAGATCAAAGTTAAGACCGATGACCCCAGGAAACTCATCAGACCGTTCAAGTAAGTAGAACAATACTTTTTAATGTTTATTCACAGGTTCAAAGAACTGTTTTAGATGCTAGAACATTCGTTACTAAATTATTCGATATGGGAATGACGAAGCAAGGAAATTCCCATAATTGTCATTAAAATTAATACTTATCTGTCTAGTCGAAGATAGTCTAGGGTAAAAATGAAATTTTAACTCTCTTTTTATATTGCAATTTAACAATGATCACCAGGAGTTAGTAAAGGTTTGTATTCTACGTACGTATGGTACTGGGGTGCGGGGTCCGGACCTCCGCGTGGTGCACCCTGGGCAACGAAGGCGGCAGCGCCTCCTTCTCTAGGTGGGGGAAGCGCTGCCGCCTACGGCAAATTCGGACCGACGTGGGAACAGCCCTCCCGAGGGTTGCTTGGAGTGTCCCCCCCCCCCCCAAAGAGTAAAGAATCCTGGTCCATAGCCCTTTACGGCACCCCAGTATGGATGGAAGCCCAGAAGGCCTGCAACGTTGCTTTACTGCGGCGACCGCAAGCGAGTGCTGGCTATCTCCTTTGAGGTGGTGAGTCTCCTGGCCGGAACTCCACCATGGGACCTGGAGGCGAGAGCCCTTGCGGCTCTGTATCAGTGGCGCAAGGAGGCGCTGGAGTTGGGTCGGATTCCTCATATCATATCATAAATCGAAGGCAGAATAGATTTAAACATGATTCACCATGTTTACTATTTAAATAGATGCATATTATTATATAGAAAAATAGAACGAAACGATTTGTGCCGTGACACAGTAAACCATAGGATAGTTTTAAGCATTAGACGGTACTTTCAAATTTGAAAGAATATCCAGTGCACTTAAAAAACTTATAAAATAACTCATTCTGGCGTTTAAGATTACTGTTATCTAGTAATTAATGTTTATCCAAAAAAAAAGGTTACTCGTTTCGCAAAACTGTAGCAGACAAAATTGCATTTGTAACCTGATAACAATGTTTTCATTGCAGGCTGACCTTTTCTAAGGCCATTCACTCTTCTACTTCGGCCTACTTAGGATCACGTGTATGCATATAAAGATAGACGATCTTAGATGCCCAAAATTTCAAATAAAATCAGTCAAGTCAGTCAATAGTAGAAATACTCATTAAAATACCTAATTTACCTCTTTAGGGTAAATCTGTGATCCATATGTAAAAGTTGTAATTTAAAAAAAGAAGCCTTTGATCGGGTCTGTCAGAATACCATTTGTCCAGCGGCGTGCACAAGATTATGACACTAGGTATGCGGCGGAGTAGTCGGTCACTTTTTCTTTTATAGATTTTTAGCACAAGTCTTAGATGTACTACTATTCATGTACATCTTCAACGGGAACGCAGACAAAACAGCGATAGATCGTCGCGGCGGAAGAAATTCTAATAAGTAAAATAATAGGCTATAATATTATAACTACTCACCAGGCATCATGCTTCTTTGCTGCGGAAAATAAATTATTTAAATCTGAATATCCCGAATCAGTCCACACTCTACTAGAATTACTAAACAATATGCAAGGAAAATAATAGAATTTAATCGTGTGTACACAACCACACAGTCACGTTTCATAACTTTTAACATGAAACTTGCGAGTTACATTTCCTTTTTGCTGGTTTAATTTTTGTAACTCGGGTACACACCTACCTTTAGACACAATTTTAATCTTTTCACTAAATGGCAATTGTAAGAACTTGTTATTTTTAATTTTTAATAGACATACATTATCCACACATAACTCACAATCAAATAACATTTAAAAAAAATCAACGGAACTCAGTAATAAACTGTTAAATGTACACACTTTCAAATAAAACTATAATTATACTGGCGGAAAGAAAATAGTAAATAATGCTCACATGAAAAAATCAATATGGCCCCCGCGAACAAGAAACATATTTGCTAATTAAACAAATAAAACCTTACCATATTCAAAATTCATAATCCGCATACATGATTCATTATATTTCTGACTATTGTAATTTGGTGGATTTATAGGGAACGAACACTGCCGATTATTCCCGAATACTGACGACAACGATTAGCGCGGGAACCCGAAGGCCAACTGCAGTATCCTGCGGCTGTAGTCGGGCATATAAAATAAATGGGTGTGTGCGTATGCGAACTGTGCACGGACACCTAAATTACTACACACATGCGAACAAATGTCCTGCGCGAGGCGACGGCATGAGTTGCTTTGCGCTTGCTTTTCGGTAAACACCTGGCAAACAATGTTTGTGTGGTGCTATGCTATTTGTAAATAGTACGCGTTTTTAAGTTATTATATTTTGTTTTTTCATTTATTTACTATTAATTAAAGTCATCTAAAACGTACCAACGTTTTATTAAAATGTCTGTGAATAGCAAGTAAAGCACTGCATTTCTGCCTACAAGGAGCGCACGCCCCTGCATTTGTCGTATCACCTCAGTTTGAGAGCACCCAACAAACCAACTCTCAAACCCATTGAGAGCACATCCTCATTACCTGGATAGTTGGCGCTCCACTACTGTGCGCTTTTCGAGACACTTTTTGCCCCTTAGAACCAATCTGTGGAACGGGTTATCGTCTGCGGTATTTCCGGACCGATACGACCTTCAAACATTTAAGAAAAGAGCGTACTCCTTCCTAAAAGGCCGGAAGATACCAAAAAAAAAATGGCGGTGGTGCGCGAAAATAATGTTACCTGCCTGTTCTAAATTTATGGGAGATAATGGACTGTATAAGTAGGTGAAGAAGGTATAGGAAAAACGCTTACTTACTTTTGTTGTGCCGAGGGGTTCCACTGTGCGTACGCGGCTGCCACGTATTTTTCGTATTATTGACACAATAGCGTATGTCTGGCGGCGCGTTTCAATCTTCCGTTTGTGACTCCTGAGTTGCAGAAGTTCATGGGCGGGGATGGTCACTTTCCATCAGGTGCTGCATCCCGTCTGCTCGTCTCCTCATAATTGATCATAAGGAAAGTATCACCATCTAACTTGCAACACTGCATTCACCGTGATGTTTGTAATAACACCATCTTATCGATGGTTGTGAACGAAGTACACAAGTGAAATACACATAAGTTCGATTAAAAGAAAAGTTACTAAATCGTAGAAAGATAATCGTTCTTCTTATATTTTAACGTCAAATAAAACTAAAAATAGTATTGTTTGTAAAAAGTAGGTCATCAGAACAGCAACCCACGGCATGTTTACAGCTGCGTGTGGTTATTCACGAACACACCTGATAAGAATGCCGAAATAGTGGTGCGAATGACTTTGGAGGACGTTAACATGAAATGTAAACAATCCTATCATAAGTTATTCTAAAATCAACCTTGTCATCTATATTTTTACAAAACCAGTGAAACCTGTTTCGTCTCATTTTGTATTTGCGTAAAGGCTACAAGTGTGAAATAAAGTTAAACGTTCTCCCTTAGATAATTAAATTTCTGCAATGACGTCAAATGTGATGCGGAGTCAGAGCATACCGCTGTAACGTCCGTGGTAACGGATGCGATTCGTGCTCAGTGGAAATATTGTTAACTGATCTGTTAACATTAAAATACAAACAATAAACTAGCATTTAGGACAGGCAATACATTACACCTTAAAATTAAATCATGCACTTTGTTAGTTACATACAACCAACTAATTGTTCAACTAACACAATTGGTATTATAAGACAAATACAGTGTAAAGCGATAGATAGCAAATACATAATTAAATATTAATGACAGAAAAGTTTTTGTGTGTCAACTGTTCAAACCCTAACATAATTCGCCTGCCAGATCATAATCATATTAGTAGCAGCACTATACACTTTTATAGTTTGTCACCGTGTTTCATCCCCCAAATTCTTGAAAAGGCCCTTGCAAGATTTTCGTTGTGACATTAGGACAATTATCCTACGTGAATGTTAAACTTATACCTTTATTCCAACATGCTAAATTCCACCAATACGTATTACACTGTTTTGAGTTTCTAGATTTCATCTTATGAGAAATTTCATCTATAAAACTTCTTAATGCCAATGATGTGTTTCAGTGATGCCAATTCTAGTGCCTACTAAGGCAGCGGCACACGCATTGCCAAATTGTCGGGACATAACGCAGTGCCATCATGTAGTATTAGTATAGTAGTAGTATCATATAGTAGTAGTAGTAGTATATATATTTTATTAGCTTTTCGTCTTGGCTTCCCTCGGTTTAGTATAGATGTAATGTAACACTATAGTTACATTCGGGTAAAATTAATCACATCGAAAATGTGACCACAGCTTTTTACAACAGCTTATTTAAGAATACAAAAGCTTGTATTTTATTTAACGTTTAATAACATGAGCGTGAAGGGACTCGACCGAAAATTAGTGACTTACGACAATTGATTGATTTATCTACTTATTATCTAGTTATTATTAGCAGACGCCAAAACAACGTATGTACTGTTATTAAATATTTACGTCAATGAGTTGTGCGTCATCATCATCATAGCACCATTTTCCTTTTAAGTAAATACTAAAATTCATTAGAAATAATAACCGGCACTTTCAGTGATTGAAGTGAGTTAGCTTTTTAAGCATAAGCATAAAAACCAACCACTAAGGTCATTGCATACGTAATTCATAATTATATGGAAACTAGCGGCTGGCTTTGGTTTTCACAGGTGTAAGTGCATAATTTTTTAAGTACCTCTTAAGGTGCCTTCTAGTTGTACTTTTATTACCTCCTAGCCTTGTAAAAGTATTTTTTGCGACTTGGTTGCAAAATATTGTTGTTTTTCTACATATATAAATTTTCTTAGAAGAAATTCTAACTGATAACGAAAACTGCTACGAAATTACAGTTCTGTGAAGCGACTTTGATAGCCTTTTAAGCGTAATGCAGTATTGAAAGTGAAGATTTTAAGCATGTGTAATGTATATTCACACATTGTCACATCCTCTTTAAGTTGGACTTTATTTTAAAGTTAACTTATACAACTAATGTTTACACAAAAACATTGTAACAAAACTTAGCGTA